TCTTGTTCCTATGTTGTTTTAAGTCATGTGTTTGTTTTTGTTGATGTGTTTATGTGTTTAAAATAAAATTTAAAAAAAACAAATGCAGCGGGTTAGATTAGGTGGAGGTGGGAGAGTAGGATTCTCTGGAGTAGGATGGGATCAATATTGTGGAGGAGTATTTATCTTGAGATAAGCCTTTAATACTAGGCCATTATGCTATCTTAGTTGTTCCCATTATGCTGATTTAAAAGCCTCTTCTCTATTAATGCACAGATTTAGAGATAATATAATTTAAAAAGATCATTTCAATAACATGTAAATTTCCACTACCCAGGGACAGCTGTACGTTGTTGGCGGATCAAACGGACACTCGGACGATTTGAGTTGTGGGGAGATGTACGATCCCGAAATAGATGATTGGACTCCAGTTCCAGAACTGAGAACTAATCGTTGTAATGCAGGTAAAATATCTATAATGCTCTATAAAGCTACTTATTTTTAAAACTTAGCAAAATGTAACTTCTTCTTTTTTTTTTTCCCCTCTGCACGAACAGGAGTATGTGCACTGAATGGAAAACTGTATATTGTTGGCGGGTCAGATCCTTACGGACAGAAGGGATTAAAAAACTGTGATGTCTTTGATCCTATAAACAAATCTTGGACAAACTGCGCTTCGCTAAATATCCGTAAGTTCATAATCTCTACAAGTTTTGGGGTGATTTATTTTCTCTTGCAGATTTTACTTGTTTTGCCTGTAGAGGGTGTTAAGAATTCATCAAGGGCGTGTTTATGCACCTGAAAATCTAACCCAGGAAGAATTATATGCTGCAAGTAAAGTAAAGCAGAATTTTCCAGAATGCCTACGAGACAGAATCTTGGTACTAAACTAGTTTTTTCCCTTTTGTCTTTATAGGTAGGCACCAATCTGCTGTATGTGAACTTGGTGGGTACTTGTATATCATTGGAGGAGCTGAGTCATGGAATTGCCTTAACAGTGTAGAACGTTACAATCCAGAAAACAATACTTGGACGCTGATTGCATCTATGAACGTGGCTAGGCGCGGAGCTGGTGTTGCTGTTCTCGATGGTAAGCTCATGGGATTGGAGAAGTATTACAAATTTTTGACTTTAACATTTGTTTAATTTGTTTAAAAAGAGCCGAGGTGGCGCAGTGGTTAGGGTGCAGTACTGCAGGCCACTTCAGCTGACTGTTAGCTGCAGTTCGGCGGTTCTAATCTCACCGGCTCAAG